CCCCCCCCCCCCCCCCCCCCCCCGTGCGTGTCATTTCCCCCACTTATACCTTCGTCGAACCGTGAGACGGACACTGTGAGACGGTGCTCCGCCCCGGGGGCTCCTATTAGCCTGTTCCCGGGGTGGGTTTATACGGGGTGGATAAGCATCTCGCGCCTAGTTTCAGAGTACTTGACAATGAGAGATGTATCCACGACCGAAATTGAAATGAACGGTTTCGGGGACAGCTGGCAAGAGATGCTCTGGAACGCGTCCTGAGTAGAGCACACGTTCCGTATCTGTTGGATCTTTCTGATTTTGCCGTGTGACGAGCCTCACCTGGCCATTCTTGTCACGAGTTCGTGGAGTCTGCCACTTGCTCGCGATGAGCTGCCTTGACTCAATTTTTGGCGCTGTAACGGGGCGGCGCCGCTTGTGCAACTTTGGGAATTCCTTCTGGTAAATGGTCAAGAGTCTCAACTTGTCAGTGTACTGCGCATCTCTCACGCCTGGCAGCTCGTGCGGTGTGAATTTGTGGGTCTTTGCCAGATAGCCGCTGTTCGACATTGGTGACCAGGTGTGCATTCGGTCCATATGGCCTCCACACTCTCGCGGTGACAGTACCAAAACTAGAGAGCGTTGAGGACAGAGACGATTGTCATTATAGATATGTCCGGATGATATAGCTGAACTTGTCATAAGCACACCCTCCCTCGAGCCAAAATGCAGTCGCAGGGATCGTAGAGGCGCGTCCATTGCGAAATTAGCCATTTATTTCTAGTGCCCAAGCTCCGTATGGTGGGCCGCTCCGCGACTAGGGACGAATGCAGACTGAGGTCTTTTTGGTCTGTTTGGGTTTTTACCGGGGTCTGTTAGGTCTGTTAGGTCTTCTCGGGTCTTAAACCGGCGGGTTTAAAACCCGGGAGGTCTTTTTGCTCGTCACTATCCGCGACCCCCCCCCCCCCAAATCGTCGTCTGGTCCCCCAACCGCTCCGCCAGGGGTCCCGCTGCGCGCTGCCTCCTTGCAGCAAAGTCGTCGCCTCGTGACCGAGCGATGGCGAACGAGAGAAACTACGTTAGCTCCGAAATGGACATTACACAGTGCGTACAATTCTCTCTTTCCAATTCGCAAATATGAGGATCGCCATAGGTCAACAGACGTGAAAGTAATCGATAGTTTCGAGGGAATGGCTTTGCGAGAGGATCTGCTGCGGGGCATCTACGCCTATGGTTTCGAACGCCCTTCCGCTATCCAACAACGAGCAATCACGCCAATCGTAGCTGGACGCGATGTCATTGCTCAGTCACAATCGGGTACAGGGAAAACCGCGGTATTCTGTATCGCGATGCTCCAGGTGCTTGAATCTGCAACCAACGAAACACAAATGTTGACGATATCCCCGACACGTGAGCTTGCTGAGCAGACGCAGAAGGTATGTTTGGCTCTCGGTGACTACATGAACGTGCAGTGTCATGCTTGTATCGGAGGCAAGTCAATAGGCGAGGATATTCGTCGTTTGGACTACGGTGTGCAAATTGTTAGCGGGACGCCTGGGCGTGTCTTCGATATGATTAAGCGACGTAACCTGCGGACCAGGAATTTGAAGATGTTGGTCATCGATGAAGCCGACGAAATGCTGAATCGGGGTTTCAAAGAACAGATATATGATATCTACCGCTACCTTCCACCGTCCACACAGGTTGTTCTCATATCTGCCACTATGCCGCAGGAGGTATTAGACATGACTCGTAAATTCATGAACGAGCCCGTACGTGTTCTCGTTAAGCGTGATGAACTCACCTTGGAGGGAATCAAGCAGTTCTTTGTGGCGGTTGAGCGCGAGGAATGGAAGTTTGACACGCTCTGTGATTTGTACGACACACTCACCATCACGCAGGCTGTCATTTTCTGCAACACAAAGCGCAAAGTTGATTGGTTAGCCAACAAGATGCGAGAGGCTAATTTCACAGTTTCTGCAATGCATGGTGACATGCCTCAGCGGGAGCGTGATGCCATCATGGCCGAGTTCCGGGGGGGCGCGTCTCGCGTTTTGATTGCGACCGACATTTGGGGCCGCGGGCTTGACGTTCAACAAGTGTCTCTCGTCATCTGCTATGACCTACCCAACAATCGTGAGCTATATATACATCGCATTGGGCGCTCCGGAAGATTTGGCCGCAAGGGTGTTGCAATTAACTTCGTAAAAAATGACGACGTGCGGATCCTCCGGGATATTGAGCAGTACTATTCGACTCAGATTGATGAAATGCCCATGAATGTCGCAGATCTCATCTAAATCCCGGCTGTCGTAACCACCGGCTGGACGGACGCTCAAACCCGAAGATCTTTGGCGAGTGCCGTAGGCTCCCCAAGACCTGCCGCACAAGTACCGTGGACACACTTCCGCGGATGTTTCGATGGCATTTCTGAGGCGAAAAGTACAATTACAGGTATCTTCTCTAATATGCGAGTTGCTTAGTGAGCCCTAGGCCCTCCAGATGCTGAGCCTGCCCTCCAGATGCTGAGCCTTGCAAGGCAAGAAAACTGGCAAAAAGCCGGCCCTGTGCGCCCAGCCCCCCCGCCCTGCGGCCCCGCAGGCAAATCCAGCGGTTCTGCGTTTCCGGTTGGACACCGCCAGGGCGTGTGGCTTGAGTATTACGAGCCTGTGTTGGACATAATCCGGCGCTGGAACCCGGGCCATCCTGCTTGATTCTGCCGGGTTGATTCTACTCTAGGTTGCTACAGGCAACTCAAGTTTTTCGCAACTTGGACCATGGTACCGGATCTTTCGGCCTTGCGCCCAAGTTCGCGCCCCCCTCCCCCCGTAGCATATCCCGCCGGCGGGACATGTTAAACGCGGGCCTGGGGAAACCCAACGAAGCTGAGTTTGCGGCTTGCCCCTCTCCCTAGCCGCCCTTAAGCGCCCCGCGCCTGGCGCCACCTCTGTCCAGGGAGCCCGTAGGGTCCGTTGAGGGTCCGTGGGGCGGCGGCGGGCAGGCGGCGGGTGCGAAGCGGGGTCGGGTGGGGCCTCTTCCGGACCGCCGCGCGACCGGTCGCCGCGGCTCATACTGACTCGGAGCCTACTGAGCCGGCTCAGTCTCAGTATGGGGGGCGGTTATCTAAACGATCACAGGACATGCTTGTGCCCGTGTTGTCAATTCCCGGAGGGCACAGACACACCACGGGTTACTGGAAACTTCTGCTCCGCTACGCTTCCCAAATTCTCACTCTGCGAGTTGCAAAGTACAGGGAAGGCGCAGCGTGCGCTACAATCACTACCGGCTCATTTCCTATATGCCACTGGCACAGGCCACAGGGCCCAGCCACTCCGATTTCGGTTTACATGTAGCCATAATTTATTTGGAACCCGTCGGGTTGACGGGTGGTAGATACTGGTAAGATTATGACGGAAGATCCGACGTATGACGAGCTGCTGGACGAGAATTACGAACTGCATGAGGAAAAAAAAAAACTCACTGAGCGTTTGCAATCGCTCGAGAACGATCTCACGGAAGAACGTCGCGCCGGTCGTGACAATGAACGCAGGGTGTCAGAAATTGAAAGGCTGCAAAGTCTAGCCAGTCGAGCACGAGAAGAAGCTGAAGATCGCGAGCGCGAGGTAGAAACATTCCAAAGCGAGCGTGAAGCGTGGGAGAGAGAACGCGAGCGACTCGAGACTGCTCTTAGAGATAAGGAAGATCGGTCACAATATGAGCATGAACTCATGGGTTGCACTCATCACATAAATTCATAGGTTGACCTCAGTGCTACGTGAGACGATCCAAGATCGTGCCAAAAACAGCCTTGAGCATGATGATCGCAAAAAGTATGCTGCATTTGAACGTGATTTGCTTGAAGCTGACAAGGAAAACGAAAGAATCAGAGCAGCGCTCTCGACTCTCGAGTCTCAACTTGCGACCCTACAGGGCGCACTGACAGCAATGTTTGGCGCGAAATGCATTTTATAATCTGTGTGAAAAGAGGACATAGGTAACGGCCGCTGAGCGCGATGAGATGCTTGTCATGCGCGATAGATCAGAATCTACATTGGAAGACTCGACTATGAGAATCGAAGAACTGCGATTGGCCTTCGAAGAAGCAACTGTACAAATCCAAGAATTATCTGCAGAACGTGATTCGATCAATGAAGCAGCACAAAAAGCTTGCAGTCTTACAACACAAAACGAGCATAATATTCGCATCAAGCTTGAAGCTGCCGTGGCAGAGAACTTAAAACTAAGAGAGACGACAGTGGCCAGTGAAAGGGGAAAAGCTGAGCGCGCATTTTTGGAACTCAAGAAGGAGCGCGCAGAGACTGAGCGACTGGATGCTGAAAATGTTCATCGGCGATGTCACCGAATTCATCTCGCTGTCAATCACTCTCGCTTAGGTTGAACTGGCCGTTCTTGCTGACTTTTTGAGACACCGTGTTGCAGAGCTAGAGAGTGACTTTCACCATGGAGATGAGGCTACCAAGCAGAATAGAGGTGCAGACGACGAAGATATTCGTGCTGAATTGATTTCTGCGAGAATAAGTCTGCAGGAAGGACAAACAAGGCAAAAAAATCTTGAAGAAGAGATAGCAGGGCTCGAGGCTGAGCTCGCGGACGACCGCGAACTTTTGGATATGGCGGCACAGCAAGGCGGGGTTGGCGTAGCTGAGGCAATTCGTCGCAACAAGAGGCTCAAAGCAGCCCTCCGTACCCGTGAACGTGAAATTGAAAGCTATCGCAACGAGATTTCCGTCACGACTCGAGCCAAAAGTGAAAGCGGAGCCAAGTTGTGGGTGGTCTGTAGGTACTGCAGGAGTCCAAAGGACATTCGTTGAGCACCAGCACAAGCTCAAAAATGCAATCGCAGATCAAGGACCTGCAAGTGGAGCGAGCTCATCTGCTTCACCGGCTACGAGAAAGCTCGACGCAAATCTCAGAAAAGGGCATCAGATTTGTTGGTCTCTCGCCCGAACACCTTGATATGGTCCGCTCATTCGCCAATCAAGTTTGCAACGCCAATCTGGGCACATCTGAAGGCTTGCAAAAACAGATAAGCCAGCCAAACAAACGTCATGGATTGGATTCTGATGGGGTCATTCATTTAGAGGCTGAGTTTTTGAGCTGTGTCCGATCTTCCTCATAGCTACCTTAACCCAGACATGTCCCAGGTTGGCTGCATTGAGTCAAAAAGCAAACGAGAAAGTGAGCGTGCCCGCTAATGATGCTCTTGGAGTGATAGATAGTATGACCGCGGCCGACATTTCTGAGTGTACTCGGCGCTCTCAAAACGGTGATGGAAGGGTCGCACGTAAATGCACAGACAAAATTGCACTACATAAACATCGTAGGTAATGGTATTAATGGATGGCAGTCAAACGTGCTTGAAGTCCCGAGGAGAAGTGCAACCAGAGTCCAGACGCAGCCTCCAAGTGACTTTGTTCACTCAAATTGCGAAATAAATGTCGCTGGACTCAAGTCTCCTCCTGCGACATTAACACCAACACATCCTGACAACGCGTTGTGCTTTACATCACCAAAGAACTCTCATCTCCAACTTGAATCGACCCGTTCAGATGGGGAGGACGGACACACTGGAGTGAATAACGAGGCACAGGCAACAATCCGCAGCCACTGGGCTCTAAAAAGATCGACCTCGTTCATATACGGTGGTATTGTAGTGTCAAACTTTAAAGCTCGAAGGGGGGGGGTGCAGGAAGGATCGCAGGATAGTGAACAGAACACACAATCATGTGCGATGGAGCGCGTGCAAAGAGGTGGTTCACATCCTACACGTCGCACCTTCCAGCTACCGGATGACCAATGGGCTAATGAATTGCACGATGTTTGCCTCAGCGCATGATGCTTCGTTCGATTCCAGGAATATATCAGCCTATGTAGGCCCATGCCACGAGTTCAGAGGCACTCGACGCACTGGACAAATCAGAGCGTGAGTGCATGCTACTCGGCCTCGCGGTAACTCTGTTAAATGGACAGACATCAGAGACAAGGCAACGTCTGGCGGTGTGCTACAAAGAGCACATGCAAGGACGCTACGATGCCCAAGAAGAGTCGTCTGGGCTAAGAAGACAATTGGCCTCAGTACGAGAACGGAAAGAAATTCTTGAAGTCAAATTAGACACCTGCAACGAACTCACCAAGAAAAGAGAGGGAGGGTATCCATCCGATATCACGGACGAATTTTCGATACTCAAGTTTGAATGCCAGGAATTGAGAGAGCGCACGATATCATATGAGGTCAACGAACTGCTACTCAAGCGAAGACTCGGAATACTTGATGAAGCTTTCAAGGTGGAGAACAGAGGGAGATTAAGGGCTGAGCATGCACTTGGTGAACTTGAGGCCACAATGCGCAGTCGCATATTATATCTCGAGCTGTGGAAACAGGGGGCATCAAAGCATGTTGAGCGCATCCAGGCTGAACTAGACGAATCACTACCTGCACAGTCCTGCCCACCCGAGCTGTTTCACCCGGTGTTTCAATGGACTCTTTTTTGTAGGTCAGCGATTTCAGGAGCAGAAGACTTAAAGTTGCTCCGGGAGGAACATGTACAATTGATTCGAGATAACGCTCTACTGCGTGCTGAGCTAACAAGATTGCGCAGCACTCCCCGACGCGCAGCATGTGCGCAGCAGGCACTTGACGATTCCAGAAATTCTCGAGTGCGAAGCGAGAAAATGTGTGACGTCCTCAAGTTGGAATTGAGAGAGGCAGTTGCCCTTGCCGAAGGTCGTGCTGCAACTGCAGCTCGAGAGGGAGGCGGTGGGGATGAAGTTTCTCTCTGCGCCCACAAGGCTCCTCGTTGCCCAATTCTATTTTTAGGTCCGACGGCTGGTCGCTGAGCTCGCTCGACTGCGTGGTGCTCATTCGGGCCCTTTTCGCTCCTCAATTTTTTTTTTGAATATTACTGTAGGTGATATAAGTCGCCTCGAAGTTGAAGGAGCTGCCGCACGTGAAACGTCGGCAACACAATGAATTCGCGCCGATGAAGCGGCTGCGGAAGCGGAACGTGCACATCGCCGTGCTATTGCCGCAAGCGATGACGCTCGAGTGGCTCGCGAAAGTGAGTTCCTCGTCCACAAACAAGTTACTAGAGTACACCTCAACGTACCCAACATAGGCGCGTCGGATGCACAGTAAGACGCGATCGGGCATCACGCATCCAATCGGAATAAAACTATTGTAGGCGCAAGATTGCACAGATGAGTGAAAATTTTAGCGGAGCTCTGCCTGCGGCAAAAGCTACCGCTCTTCGAGCTTCGCTCGTCAAAGCAAAGGAAGAGTCTGCGGCTGCAAATCGAGATTGTATGCGACTTCAAGAGCTCACCGCGATCGCAACTACTCAGGTCGGATGCTGCGTCCTCCTTACCACTGGCATCAGGAATAAGTCACTGGATCAGGCAGCCGATCTTAAACGGACACAGCGTGACAATGCGTTGGAGCAGGAGCTGCTGAGGAAACGTCTTCAGGACTTTGAGGCACGATCAGATGATGATCGTATTATCGGGAAATTGCAGCGAGAGATCATCACGATGCAAACTACGTATCGACTCTTTGCTCGCGCGTGGCTACTGTTGAATGTATTCAGATCTTCAACCCTCAACCTATTGCACTCATAGGTAAATACGAGGTCGTACGTGAGCAGCTTAAACATAAAGCTACGCTAACAAGAAAAGCAGAAGCACTGTGCGATCTACGTGACGAATGGCTGATCTTGCTTCGAGATGAGAAGCGCGCTCAGTTTGTCGCGCTCCAAAGCACTCTTGGTGAAGTTTCAAGGCTTTGGGCGCAACAAAGTCTTGCCCCGTGCAACACTTTTTTATGGGTCACGATGTGACCGGAAGTTGCTAACAGGCAGTCAGAAAGACAATATTACAAGGACTCAAAACTTATTGACAAGCAATTGCTTCTCTACCGTCAGTCTCAGAGCTCAGCTTGATTCAGTTGGTGATTTCCAAAAGTTTCGTGAGCTCGCATGTGATGTCGCTGAGCTTCAATATCTCACAGAGAGCAAAGAAGTTGAACTAAGCGCATCGGAACAAGCACGCGAGCAGCTTGAGCAGCACGTTGAGCAATTGAAAGTGGAGCGAGATGTTTCACAGAGACTTGCGTTGGAGTTAAAGGGGGCTTGTAGTCAGATTTCTGATGCCGCCTCCAATATCCCGGAATCATTATCGTCCGCTGGCTTGTTTCTCCGTGTACAGCATATTACAGAGTGCTCCATTGTCTTGTTTGCAGGTAATTCAACTACCAGAAGGATGCTTTCACTCTGTGACGAAGTGGCTGCGCTCAAATTACAGAGCTTACAGGATCGTCGTCAGGTACTGATGCTACGGGAAGGGACACGGCGCCTTGAAACCACGGTTGCTTCACACGAGGCCGTCCTCGCAGCAGCTGATCGAGCCCGCGTGGAGGCTGAAACTCGGCTGCTACTTAATGGCACAGATAATCCGGTGAAAGTCGTACAGGGGGGACCTCGGTCTCCTTCGAAAAGTGAAATCTCCACTTTGGTAGATGGGCGCAATGCCCTATGTCGATTGTTTTAAGATGCTAGTTTTGCGCAAAACCTGTGATGACAGGTGCACTATCGACATTTGCTCTCCAGTTGGAAACGGCGCAGAAGGCACCGCTAGCACAGTCTAGTCTGAACGACACGGGAGAGACAAGCAAGCGTCTGGCCAAAGCCAATCACCTTGTGATCGAACTCACCGACAAGGTCATTTATGACATAAAACTGATCAAAGGAGCCCTCCGTACTATAGCTTCGGGATGCACATGCAGCAACAAATGATGCTCGTAAATGTGCAGAGGAGGTAGTTGTTCACGCATGTGAACTTGGACGTGCCCTCAGATTCTACGAACAGGCCACCGCTCGCAAGAATCCAGTGTCGACAATATATGCACAACGTACAATGTCTGCTTCCAAGCTTTCCCTCTTGTATGCCAGATGTCCACTTGGGTCCCACAAAGTCTCCCGGTCTTGAACATGCTAAAAAGTTTGTCAAGATGACTGAACGTGGCACCCGGGATCTATTAACACCAACATTCAGATTGGAAAATTGTCGCACCGGCCCTTCTCTCCTGGATGACCGACACGTGCAAACCCGACTACAGCAGGTCGCAACCAGAACCATTTCATCGTTGAAGGTGTGGTCCAGAGCATTATCGGATCTTTCATTGAAAACTGTCCGAGTTTGTGATCTCAATTCACAGGCAGTTGTCGAGCAGAAAACTCAAGCACTGATGAAATCAGATGAACGACTAGAAAACGTCCGAAGGGTGGCTCGGCGAGAAGCAGCCGCTGACAAAGCGGAGATCGAGCGTCTAACTGAAAGACTATACCAGGAGCATCACGCCGCGATAAATCAACTGCGCAGCGCAGTCCAGGCGATAGAAAGCGAATCCATCAAAGATGTGGAAAATGTGGTGAGTACGGCAAGCTCAAATAGCACAGCGTTTGTACACGAGACAGAAAATGCTAATGCAGAACTCCTTCAAGTTTGCGAAGAGAATCGACAGCTCGAACAGAACTTGCATGTCTCAAATTGTGCTCGTGAGCGTGCTGAATTGCGTTGTTCCGAGGCCCTGGGCGAGATCGAAGCGCAAAAGGTCGATCTCGTCGCAATGGCTGCACAACTTAAAGAGGCTGAGATTGTGAAATCTAACGCGCATTATGGCCAAAACCTGAATTTCAGGGTGAAAATGTTACAGAGTTCACTCTCAGAAAAGGAAGCAAGAATTCGGGGTCTGCGAGAAGCGCTTGTCAAGCTCAAGGCCGAATTCGTGGCGGCCGAGGAAGTGCTTAAAGGGTCCCCCTAGGCGGTAGCAGATGCTGTAGCAGATGTTGTGTCTAGGCGCGTGCTGTAACGCAGTCCACTGAGCGCGGTAAAGAGAAGAATGCTGATAAACTCATCACTGAACTGCAGAGTCGAGCGGGTCATCTTTCTGGGCAGCTGCATGCGATTCGCAGTGAAGCTAAGGCTTCCAGGTATGCAAAAAAACGCCTGTATGTTGCCTCTTCTGAGGGTCGAGTGTAGGTCTGAACTCAATGTGACACGCACGCAACGTGACAAATACAAAACGCAGCTTGAACAAACTCAGAGACAGGTAGTAGAAGTCTGCTCTAATGCGCGTGTCGCGGAATCTCGGTGCCGAGAATTAGATGACTCCCTAGCCAAGACGCGTGGCGAGTGCAGGGAATTAAGGACCGCTGAAGCTCAGTAAGCCACCTTAATTCACCCCAGAGGCAAATCTGTGCATCTTTAGGGCACGCAAGCACCAAAAGAAAAGTGAGTGTCGTGCCTCTTGCCTCTGTCCAAATTTTCATAATGAGCAAAACAAGGTACATCAACTGAACAAAATGCCATGACTGTAGAGGTTGAGCTTCTTAGAGCTCAGAATGTAGCGCTGCGCAGAGCACAGAAAAAACAACTGGAACCAAAGGCAGCTGAATACCAACATTTGGCGACACAGTTGCAGGAGGAAAAGCCTCATCTTGGTCGAGGCCAAACTCAAAAGCGCGAAATCAAAAGCGGAGATCGTCCTTCAGCTGGATTATCTACACTGACGAATATACGTTGCTCTACAAATGATCTCATGGCTGTTGTACAGAAATTGAAATGTGTTGTAGAGCATCAGAACCATCGCATGAAGCAATTGCACCGCCAAAGTAAATCGATTCTACCGTCCAGCAGAGATAGGCTCTAAGATGTACTCGTGCAGGTCTGGCTGGGAAGGTAAGCAGAGTAGAATTTCAGATGCGAGACACTAATAACAAAACGGAGTATGAATACCGTGCTCACTGCACATACATTAAGCGAGTCTAGCCTTTAAATAGGTTGCCGTGCACGACCGGCACCAAGCCAGATCACCCAGGCATTGTCACAGAGCCGGATGCTCAGACGTAAGATCTCGACCATCGTAATCAATTTCACAACAGTTCTAGGGTCTATGAAGGATCTGATAACACGAAGCAAGAGCGCGAGAAGGTTGAACATCAATTGACAGAAGAAAACGCCCGTCTGCGTCGAGAACTGGAGGCGTTTGATCTGGTGAATATATGCATTCAAACCTTTGTTCCTGATATATTACACAATGTGTGCAGAGCTTCTTTGAGCGCATCGAGGACTTAAAGTACACCGCTGGGTGTATCTCACCTTTCCCTACTCTTCGTTTATTGAAGCCCATGTATAGGTTCAACTATCACCAAGTGCGGATGCAGCTGGAAGATACGTAGTCACCATAGAACGCACATTTCTATATCGAAGATGGTCGCGTGGCAGCTCGGGCCCCGCGGGGGTTGCATTTACTGGGCGGCTCAACTGCTGCGCCATCATATGCAGATAACGCCGGCGTCCAACCGCGATTGGCCGTGCGTCCAATGGGCTTCGTCCGATCGTCCGATCTGGCCGATCGTCCGATCGCTGGCCGACATGAGTCGCGAGCTCTGTGTCAGTCATGGTGTTACGGTAGTGCGAGGACTGCCAGCAAGAGAGGCCGCCTCGAGCGCCGGCGTACGGGGGGATTAAGAAAAAATTTTGGGCTTCGGGGGGGGGGTGCCGGGCGAGTCCCTTCGGGCCCCCGGCGAAGCCCTTGTAGCCTACTTTGGGGGGTCGGTCGGGCGGTCGTCGTCGCCGCCGCCGCCGCCGTCGTCTCGTCACGCGCGTGGGGGAGTATCGAACCCAAGTCAGCCGTAGGGCGACCGCACAGAGGTGATGTATCCTGCCACGGCGTATCAACGGCCCCCGCACGACGCCGCGGCCCCGGGACGGGGGCCGGGGACGGGCCGGGCACGGGCCGGGGGCGCATCGTGGACTTAGGAGATTTTTACTCGCGGCTTTGGGAAATAAATCTCTAAATAAATAGATAAATTTATGCTAGGAATACCTAGCTGCTGCCCGCGCGCGCTTCCCCGCAAGCACGACGGGCTTGTATTCCCACTCCGCGAACGTCTTCAAAGGGGGAACTTAGTCCTCGTCGTCCGCCGGCGAATAGGATACCGTATTTCGAGGCTTGCCAGTAGATGGCTGGCGGATCTTGGGAGGCTTCGGCCGGGGCGCGGCAACTTGCTGGCCTGGTACTGTCTGCTCCACAAGCGCCCTCACATCAGAAAAGACCCCAGCTTTCCAGCAGACAGCAACGTGCAACTGTCTGGCATCAGCATCATATTTGATGGATAGACTGGGAACGGGGAAGCGGCGAATATCGCCCTTAGAACGCGAGTGTGATTAAGCACAATCAAAGTGCGCTTGGCGATAAGCCAGCTACCTAGGGAGCCTACATTCCGCTCCTTGGGCTATGCTACCCTAACTCGGGACTATGCTATCCTCCCTATGCTGCGACGCTCATACTGGCCTATGCTGGCTATGCTAAGTCTGCCTTATACTGGCTATGCTCATGCTGTACTATGCTGGTGCTTCATACTAGCATACTCGGATTCTAACACCGGCACGGGCCCGGCACGCGGCACGGCACTCGGCACGGGCCCCCGGGCACGGGCCGGGCACGGGCCACGCGGCCCGGCACGGGCCCGGCACTCGGCACGGGCCCCGGGCACGGGCCGGGCACGGGCCGGGGAGGCCCGGCACGGGCCCGGCACGGGGCCCCGGGCACGGCCCGGGCACGGGCCGGGGACGTGGCCGGGGACCGCGGCACGCACCGTTGTGCAGGGCCCCCTCTCCACTTGTAGGCCCGGCCGAGACGAACCACGGACAAATCCCTTGTCCGGACAAGCGGGCTCGCTAACATGAGTTCACATCCAACTCAGCACACCTGGGCATTCTGGGAGCATCGGACCTCCGAGAAGAAAACGATGACCAAGCAAGAATGGGCCAACTTGCAGAAAAAATTATTTAGCTTTAGCACAGTCGAAGATTTTTGGAAAAATTACGAACATATTCCTCCCCCCTCAGATGTGTTCTACGATGGGAAAGCGCGAAAGCGCGTCGGATCACCGCCACAAGACCGGTTCATCGAGTCTTTCTCAATCTTCAAAGAGGGCATAGCGCCCGAATGGGAGGATTCTGCAAACATTAATGGCGGTGAATGGAATCTTCGCAAGAGCGGGCGGGGGAATGAGGGGGACATGATCGACGAATGGTGGCAAAATCTCGTCCTGGGTCTAATCGGCGAGACCATTGACACTCAGGATCATATTTGCGGTGCGCGTGTTGTTGATAAATCTGGTGGGAAGGGTTCCCATCCAGTGTATCGCATTGAGCTCTGGTTAAGGACCAAGGATGCTGGTATCACAGAGAGCATGAAGCTACGCATGATCGAAATTATGACCGACAATCGAGCGCCACGTACTATGTCAGACCAGTTTCAATGGAAGATGCACGGTGTATGATTGCTCTTTGAGATTCATTCATGAAAGGGCTTTCACTTCGGAGTGACTTGGATTTACTCTTTGAATTCCATATAGATCGGCATTGGTCACGGTCTCTGCGCAAAGGCCATAGCCAGGCGAGTCTCACCGCCAAATGCCGCCATCATAGCCCATGCAGGAGGATGTTGCCAACATGTTGGCAGTACCTGGTTGCCCAGGGCGGTACCCAGTTGGGACCCTCGCAGGCTCTTTGCCTCGCGGGGATCTTGACAACCTCAAGTATGGGCCTCGCCGGGCCTCCCAGGCTGCCCGGGGAGACCGCGGAGACATGACGAGGCGCCGGCAGGAGATTTGAGGCGCTGCGCCCTCCTGGCCATGAGCACATGAGCGGAGCTAAAAAGCAAGTAAAAAACCCTCATGCTCTATATACCCCCAACAGGGCATGATAAACGGGGATTATCGAGGTCAGAACGCGAGTGTGATTAAGGACAATCAAAGTGCGCTTGGCGATAGGCCAGCTACCTAGGGAGCCTACATTCAAGTTCCGCTCCTTGCCAGTGGGCTATGCTACCCTAACTCGGGACTATGCTATCCTCCCTATGCTACCGCTACTGCAACGCCCCAATAGCAACACCGCAGACCGTCACGCACAGCGCACGCGCGGCGCACAGCGCCTCGAGGACGCGAGCCGAGGCCAAGGGCGACACGCAGAAGGAAGCACGCAATGAACACAGCAAAAATCGACGAGGATCGCGCGTTCAGCGGGCTCACATACGCCAAACAGGTTTGGCCTAGCTCCCAAACCGGTTTGGGCCGAGTTCAACGGCCACGGAAGAGTCGGACCGTTAAGATTGCATAACTCTTGTCGATTATGGAAGCCCTTTTGGTCAAAGCAAGGCAGTCGGTCGCCGCAGGCCCAGCCAGGCCAGAACAGGCGAAATCCGCGAGGTCACTTTACGCGTACGTTAGCGCCCCGCCGAGGCGCGTAGACGCCCCCTAGACCCCCCGGAGGCGTGTGGAAGGCGCGTGCGACGGGTGGTGTACGCCAGTCGTCCTCGCCGGCCGCGGCCGCACCGTGGTCGCGCATGGTCGTCGGGCCCGGCCGGCCGTAGGGCTGGCCGCTGCCGTAGCCCTTCGGCACCGGGCCCCTGGGCGACCCCAAGGAGGCGTAGTACAGCTTGATGGGGTCCCGCACGACGACGTCGATGAGCTTGGCGGTGCTCGAGCTGCTCCTCGACGAGCACACCGTCAAGTTCCGGATGCACGCCGCCACGGGCCCGTGTTGACGGTTTTGTCACTCGAGCTTGGGACCACACATCATGACAAGGGCCTCGACCGTTCTGGGCGCGGCGCCGCACCCACGAGGCCGCTGCGCAGCCGTGCCGCCGACGACCGTGTGCCCAGAGAGACCGTTTCGACGCCCAGAGCGGCCCGTGCGACCGTGTTCGTGGCGTCACACGATGACCTGGGGATCGGGCAGCCGCGCGGCAGCTTGCACGCGTGGCGCGGGCGCAAGACGCAGCGCTTTAGGGCGCCGAGGGGCGCCGCAGCGCGTCGAGGCAGCCCGTCGTTGGAAAAAAGATGGCTAAAAATCCATCAAGATGCCGAAGCGACGACAAACTTTGAAGAAAACCTCGCATTTTAGACGCCTGTGTCCACAATCAGCCGCCCTTGTCCACGGCCCGGCGCCCGGACACGTCCCCGGGCGTTCCGGCACGTAAGGCGGCGGTACCGGGGGCGTACCGCAGCTCGTCGACGGTGTATTTTATTTTATTTTTTTTGTATTTTCGGCCGCGCGCGCACGCGCGCGCTTCCGCGAGGTCGTCTTACACGGTACCAAGGACGTCGAAAATGAATTCAGAGTCTCCGAAATGTATTTAGGCGTACGGGGTTCGTCCCGATTCGTCGCGGAAAGTGACCTCGCGTTTTTTGGCCTGGCTGGGCCCGTGACGACCGCAGTTGGCAGAGAACAAGCATAGTCAGAGGCGACAGATTTTCTTTTTGAGTTCAAAGTTGGCTATGGTCAAAGTCCGCACTTCAGATATGAAGCAAAGGATCAATAATGCTGCTGCCCGTGGAGACATAGCTGCTATTGTACGGGATCTTCAGCGTGCTCATTCCAATGGGGTTTTCAAAAGGAGAGGAGGGTTAATGGGATTTTTAAAAGACCTAATACACAGCGCAGCCCTTGAAAATGGAGCCTGAGAAGGAAAACGAAGCAAGAACATGCGGTGGAGCACCAGCACCCACAGGGTGATGCAGGTGTTGATGCGGCTAGGTGGGCAAAGGTCCATCCTCAGGGCCAGCACGAGTATGTTCTGTGACATGCCACGTACGTCGGAGCTCTTACGTACACCCTAAGGGCCTCCGTAGGTCTTAGGTAATTCCGGTAATGCTCAGCCCTAGGAACTCCGCTCAGCCTAAGATTGTAAATTTAACGTCGTAATCGAGAACGAGCGAGCCGACGTCAAGGCAGCGACGAGGAACGCGGTCGACCGGCAGCGGTGCGGCTCTCACCTCTTCTTCCATCGGCTAGGACGCCCGGAACGCGTTCCAGGCATCTGGAACTGCCAAGAACCAACGTTTCGACCCGAGAGGCGTTCGCGGCCCGCGAAACCGACGGCTCCCAGACGCCCACCACGACGCGCGAACACGCGCGTTCGCGCGAGTTGGACGCGCCAGGGGCTCCTAGGGCCCTCCCAGCTTAATCGTGACGCTCAGTCCGCCAGGAACCGGCGTCCGGGGGCCGCTCCTGCTACTTGAGCCGTGGTGGCTGGCTGATCTAGGAGTCACCCTTGTTTGAATTCGGAATTATGGCCCCGGCCGAGCCGCGATGTCGGGCCACCGGTTGCGCGCTAGTCGTATCGACCGGGGCATTCGGGGAGCGTGGGGTCGGCGGTTCGGGTCGGGGGTCGCATGATGTATCTTCAGTGCGCACTGGCGTAGTCCCTCTAGGGCAACACCCTGTCAGTGTGTGCCACCTTGTACGTTGGCGGCTATGGGCGTGAATTGATGGTCCCTGTTGGCGCGCTCGACATGCCTAGGCCGCTCCGAAGAGTCAAAAGGCCCGTCGCGGCCGAGAGCTAAAGGGCGGCGACGTGGTGGTCGGCGAGCTGATGGCAACTGTGCAACTTCCAGACGATTGGTGGGACACGTCCGAGGTTGGCCATCGGGCTCTATCGAATGCGCTACGCTGACGGAGATGAAAGGATCATGAAATGTGTTTGCTACATGCCGAGATCGCTAGCTCACATGCACCTTAAGCGTCTTACTCCGCGTGTCGTCGAGTCCAGAAAGCGTCCTCCACGTCGACATCACGGTCTGCCTTGAGGGCTTTCCTATAAACTTTTGGCATGCGCGAACTATCATAGACATCCCGTCGTTCTTGAGGAAGTGAGGCGAGAGTGGCCTCGATGAATCCTCTCTCCACGAACCACTGCATGGTCTTCGTTGAGAGCGCAAAAAGTTTTTTGACACCCGAAGCGATCGCGACACGCTCCAGGTACGAGAGAAGAGCATCGCCCTTCGATTGTCTGCGGTATTTGGGTGCAACAACTAGACAACCAAGTTCTGCAAGTGAACCTTGCGCGTCAAGTCGTTTCAAGGACGCACATGCTATTGGAAGATCATCTCTCGCAAGAACATAATAGCAGCCACGAGCGACCTCCTGGATGAGCTCAGGGCGTGAACGAGGGACAAGTGTGCCATCGTCCTCCAGAGGCATGATGAGGCCTAGCAATGAATCAACGTCGCTTAGTACAGCACTTCGTATGCCTTCATAGATGTCTCTGGAGATAAGGGTGCCGGCACCATCTCGCGTGTAAAGCTCTCGAAGTAATGCACCTTCTGTCGGCGAAACAAGGTGAGCACGTGTAACGCCTTGCTCAAGCGCGGTTACACAGAAGTCAGCAAGATCGAGAATCTGCGCGGCAGGACCGTCGTCATCGAGCTCTTGTCGGCGCTGGAGAAGCCTGCGAGCATCATCAAGGCGGAGACTCGCAACACGTCGGCCAGAGGACACAAGAGCAGCGCCGTCTACATCCTTCCAAGCAAGCTCATGGCCAGCCGTGACCTATGCCACGCGAATAGTCCTAGAGTATATTTGTGATTGTGGTCTATCCTCATCAAATCTCTCATCATAGATCTTTGAGATAGATCAGAAGAATATTTAAACAGCCTTAAAAGAACACTGATCGCAAACGAAGATCAATTTAGACGCAAGCAGCGCAGGTGCCGCACCTAAGTGCCACCTCTGAGAGCCAAATCTCACATCCTCTCCGTGCACGCTAAATGAAAAGCAACAGGATGTCGTAAAAGATACGCTGGTTGCCATACGTGCGGCAATCTCTTCCGTGCGTACATTGAAGGTCTCCCCGGAGGGAGAGTAAGCGAGAGCAGATAGCAGGACGATTTCACCAGCGTCGAGATGCCTCGAAATCTTGGCCGCATCCACAAGGCGCGCCTTTAGAGAAATATTTGAAGCACTTTCGCATCGATTAAGAGATGGTCGCATCTCAGATTATCTAAAGCTCACAACGCAGGTAGCTACCGCACCGGTGAATCCGGTATCGACACCGTCGATGACACCAACTGGCCTCCCGCTCACAAACCCATTCCCACCAACAACATCGACGCCAATAGTGGATCGGCCGTGGGAGGCACCACCGCTTCGCAGAGCACGGGAAAGGGCTGCCTCAACACGCGACCGTGCGAGGCCGCATTCCACTTGAACCTATGCTAGAACTCATGCTGCGTCTAAACTGATGCGGTCCTAGAAGATTTATCGATGAAATAGTCACAACTCGTAAAGCCCCGCTCCGCCCCTAACCGCTGCGAGCTCTTCTGTACCTGTCACTCTCAACCCCCGAATCCTTTCGCCTAAGTTTTTTTTCCCCAAAAGCAGTCGACGGTCCACCTGAAGTCGGACAGAGACGAGCATGACCAACTTGACTCCAAGCACATGCAGTGTTGCCAAATCGTCCATAATTTCCTGGAACCTGAATATATAGCTATTAAAAACAACTCATCTCTCCATTTCAATCATGTAATCTTCAATGGCACTTGATACTCGCTTGGACACTGCTTTGAACATGGCATCGTTGTCAATGACTTCACTGCAGAGGTGCACAACCATAGTGCTATCTCGATGTAAATCCACATACGGCGCAGATCCACGAAGCTGTTGTACAACGTTCCACGCCTCACAATCGCCGTCCTTGAGGCCAGCGGCAACTTCGACTCTATTTGCGTCGATGGACATTTCTACAGGAGGTAGAGGTGCGCCAAATGAATCATGGAACGAGTCCCGTTCATCATGCGGTTGGACCCGAAGCATGCCATTGGGCAAGATGCTACACCGATATCTCACACCAGAGGGCATGCCCCCCCCCCCCCCCCCCTTGCCAAACTGCACCAGTGCAAGGGCACCCTGGATGGTTCCAACGATGGCAAGAACGAGGCAGGGTCGCGCCATTGGGCAACTAGAATGAGCGTCAGATTAAGCGGAGCTAAGGGAGGGGCGCCGCGCGGGCGGCTTTCGGCGCCGCAAAGCGCCTGCTTTCGCCATCCGCGGAAGCCTCGCGGACAGCTCGGGCTACGAGGACTCCCAACAAAAATCAGCGCGTCCAAAACCGTCCGCGTAGAAGCGCTGCGGCTATATGGAGGTTTCGACGAGGACACGACCGCGAACGAAGCCCGCACGAAACGCGCAAAGCCCCCAACGGCGAGCATGGCCGCCGATATAAGAGGAGCCAGGTACGATGGTAGCTTCAGAATACCACCAGGGGGAGTAGCATACCCCAGCAGACCGGGCGATTCCAGACTGGGCCAATTTCCGACTCTGGGTGGCGACGACTCCACCATTAGACAACAATTTCCATCACTGACATGGAACAGAATTGTTCAAGCAAGCATGAAAGCGAAGAATTTATCGCAACTGCATACACATGAAGAATATGATGACACTCAGCATGAAGACACTTTCAACCCATTCTTCATGTCCACAAACAGTGCCAATCAGCGTGGGCGGAAGGGGAACTCTGGGCCCCGGCGTCCCCCGAGGGGGCCCTGCACAACGGTGCGTGCCGCGGTCCCCGGCCACGTCCCCGGCCCGTGCCCGGGCCGTGCCCGGGGCCCCGTGCCGGGCCCGTGCCGGGCCTCCCCGGCCCGTGCCCGGCCCGTGCCCGGGGCCCGTGCCGAGTGCCGGGCCCGTGCCGGGCCGCGTGGCCCGTGCCCGGCCCGTGCCCGGGGGCCCGTGCCGAGTGCCGTGCCGCGTGCCGGGCCCGTGCCGGGCCGCGTGCCCGGAGCGCACTTACCGTGCCGGAACCCCCGTGCCCGCCGTCCCCGGCCCCCGTCCCGGGGCCGGACCGTCGTGCAGGGGCCCGTCCCCCGGCTAGAACTTGTTTCTTGTCTGATCCTCGCCCATGGCTTCGAAGCGGAAACAGAAGCAAGCCGCACGACAGGAGGTGATAGAGCCGTCATCTGAAATTGAATACGCTGCTCCCGATCCAAGCACGAAGATCACGTGGCCGAGGCATCTCGCAGGGGGGGTTGACGAGAGCAAATTCCTGGTGTTGTGGCCAAATAACATCAACTCCAAGAAGAGTCTCTCACAGGGCCGGCGCATCAGCATACAACACGCCTGCGAGGATCCCATAGTACAAGAAATGTCCGAGGTGTGCCAGTTTTTGAAGCTGACTCACATAATCGAGCCATACAAGGCGCTGTCGAGAGACATTTCAGCTCATCCAGGGCGGATCCGAGTTCAAATCTTCTCTGACGACAAGCCGTGTCATGTGGAGATTGAATCTCGGAAGGGCCTGATGCGCAAGATGGGCGAGCTGATTCCGAAGCTCAATATCCGGAAACACCGAGTTGCGATGGAGCAGCGTGAACTCGATGCACAAAGGTATCAGGCTGAAAATGGAAACAGCCCAGGCAACCCAAAAGGCTATGCCAAAAAAAAAGGTAAAAAGGGACGGCGCTAGTGTGGATATAGATGATGTCGCTGATGAGCTTGTTTGAATTGGGGTGAGTTCAAGAGAAGCCCGTGAGTGGCCCCAAGGGACGACCGGCGAGCAGCGCATGGACAGATCCCGACAGTGACGAGATCGACATATGAAGCTAGCCCCCCCCCCCCCCCCCCCCCCCACCGGAGGGCCCGGTGCATGAGCAGGGCCGCCATGGAAACTAACAAGTAGCGCGTCACTTTGTTTATAAAAACAACAACTTGAAATTCCAAAAAGAGCGCCCGTTTGGAGGCCAGACGCTAGAGAGATAGAGAGATTTCTACCCTCATCCTCAGTGCATCATACCCCACTGTGCTCCTACTGCGTATCCTGCTAGTTGTCCTTCTCTTCCTTAATACACCCCAATCCAGTTTTAAGTCTTATAGACAGCGAACTGAAAGAGTGTCAGCCAGCAGGGGGAGGAGAGCATAGCGCCCTTCTGTGTCTGTGGTGTCTGTCTGGTTAGCGTCACAGCGACGTGCCAGGGAGCACCAGGCTCGGCGAGGTAGCACAGTCGCCGGACAGTGCACCTGCTGGATAGTAGTTTAGCAGGTTAAGGGCAGTCTAACTTAGTAGTAAGTGGGTGCTAGAACTGACTTAAGAAGGAGGCTACTCTCGTAGACTCGGGCACGGTACCGCACAGACAAACGGCCAGCGAGGTTATTATAATGTACGAAGACAGGAAGGGAGGAAAGTATCAGAAGAGCATAAATCCTAGTTAGGATATTGCGCGCCGGCTCCGAGTCGACGGCGCGTGGCCCCGAGCGGAGCGAATCCGGGCACGCGTGCGCGCGCGCGCGTGGCGCGCGGCGTGGCGCGACTCGTCGCGACCGAGCCCTGCAGCCGCGCCGTACCCCTCTACGGGATGACGGACGCCCCAAACCGAAATACCTGGCATGTGAAAAGGGACCCGGCTATATGCCGGTATATACCCACACTGGCATATACCCCCCGAAACACCCGAGCCGCCATACCTAATCGCCCGCTGACGGAATCGGCGCGGTTGGGGCGTCGAGGAAGCCGGCCCCCGGGCGTGGGTTGCGGTCCTTTTGATTAAATTTGGTTAACGCCTAAATCTGAGTAACTGTAATATTATGCAAATGTCGTTTAGACTGGGAGCTATTTTTGTTTTGTGTTGTGGCGCGTGGGGGGAGTACACGCCCAAAATTGACCCGAAGACATTCGAGTTGTGGAGGCTCAAGGTCGAAAAAAAGGTGAAAACGACCGAGCGCGCACATCGGATCCACTTCCTTTATCGGGGGCAGACAGTGTCGCCTTGGCATGATATACCGTTTTGGGCGGGCTACTTCGAAGAGGAGAAGCAGCCCCTCGTGCATTTTGTGCTCTTCCGCCGTTTAATATTCTGCATTGGCCAAATGTCGAAACTTGCAGGTATGTGAGATTCCACGAATGACACATGCAAAGTTGGAGATCCACAAGGGTCACGAGCCCAACCCTCTAATTCAAGACACAGTTGCGAACAATAAGCTGCGCTTCTACAAATATGGAGAATCAATTGTTAATTACGGAGCTATTGCTCAAACCTGGGAGGACCCGAATGTTGCAGACCCTGACACCGGCTTGGGTGGCGACAACGACCCTATCGATGTACTCCAGCTCAACTCAAAGCCCTGTCGCCGGGGCTCCGTCCATCGCGTGCGCGTACTCGGTGCTTTGGCACTCGTTGATAGTGGAGAAACTGACTGGAAGTTGTTGGTGGTCAATGTGGATGATGTTGCTGAGAAAGATGCCACGAAGTGGCGTCACATCGATGAAATCCCCCAAACCCGCATCGACGAGATCCGCAATTGGTC